GGGGGGGGTGGGCAGGAGGGAGAGTCAGAGCCTGGGACATCCGCCTCTGTATTTGCTGGTCCTTTTTTGGGTTTGTTTTTCTTTTAACTTCCTGGTAAAATTCCTTTTGAAACATTCCCAGCCTGTTTGCCAGATGAAGGGGCGGGGTTGTATGTGCAGAGGTGACTGTGGCCAGGAGCTCAGGGCAGCCACTGAGGTGGGGGGTGGGCGGGACGCAGAACCTGGGGGCCAGAGCACGACAGGCACTGTGACAGTCACAGCCCAGAGCACCAGACTGCACCTCCAGGCCTCGCCTGGCCCGGGCTGCCTGCGCACACCCTGAGAGGCAGTGGGGCCCGGGAGACCGGCCTTTGCTTCTTGCCTAGGTCCCCTCCAGAGCCACCCCGTCTTGGAGTTTTAGAGACTCACGTGTGTGAGCACCACACCCCCGGGGAGGCTGGTACATCTCTGGAGGGAGGGTGTCCCTGATGGGACAGTGGGCTCGGCCCCTCGGGACCTGGGGAGGCCAGTGTCTCTCTGCACTGTCCTACCTCGGGGTGGACAGAAATTCAAAGGAAGCAGAAGCCTCCAGGGCACTGGGACAAGCCCCTCACACCGGGTCTCCCAGCCTCGGCACAGAACCAGACACGCAGGCCCCGCTGGGCTCAGGCTCTTTACTCTGGCCAGACAGGCCTCAGTTAGGGCGGTAGGACGGGAGGGCCACTCTGGCTCCTGAGGTGCTTGAGCTGGAAACAGCAGCCTGGCGGGCCCAAGCCTCCTGTGGAGGCCCATCCAGCTGGTCCTCACTGTGTCCCTCCTGGGAAGGCCGGCATTCTTATCCTCACACAAGGTCATCTGGGCTTCTAGAGAGCGGGGAACAGGATGCTGTCTGTTCCGAAGGGACTGCCTCTCCCCCTCGGCGCTGGGGAGCCCAGGACCCCCAGATGTGCCTCTCCCCTGACCCCTCCTGCCCTCACTCTCTGGCCCCCTCTCCTTTCTTCCCGGTTCCTGGCCCTGTTGCTGCCCCCCCACTCCTCGCCCTCCCTCTGCTGTGACCCCCAGCCCCCACCCCCCGCCCTCACTCT